TATTATCACTCGAAATAAGTTAAGGTCGACGAGTGATTAATTATGACTTTATCATGAACTCTAGACAAGTCAATGCACTTAAGTCCACGAGAACTCTCCATAACAATCGCGGGTGAGCAATCGGAAGATTAAGTTTGGCCGCTAAGTCTACAATCAACCGACGCAAGTCTAGATATAGGTCTATCTAGCTGCATATACCACAAAATCTCAGTTTATTCGGACGGTTGCCAAGAGCACGGCTTTGCAGAGGAGCTGAAAAATATCACCCTTAAAGGAAGAGATCAGAGCCTTTTACAATAGGACAAAAGCCAACACCGCTCTTCGCAACCGTCCGAACGAACTGAGATTTTGCGGTACCCTGGAAGGATGGAGTTTGGGCCTCTGAAAGCCCGGCCGCCGACCAAAGCTGCATTTTGCTGAATCTTCCCACAAGGTTATCTGAACCGTGCCGCTGTAGGAATCGGCTTTAGAAGGTTCAAGATATATATCAGGATGAGGTGATATCGTATGATCCTTGTTCCTTTTTCTGATCTTTCTGTTGTCTAGTTGTAGCCTGGTGGGTGCAGTGGTTCGTGATGATTAGATGCAGAATTCAAAAGAAAATCATAGACATAGTCGTATTCTACGTTAGGATACGGCTGGGCAGGGTCCCTTTCTGTGACTAAAGATTGCAACAAAGCTTAGTTCGCCTGATACATCAATTCATGCTATACAGAGTGTCGAAGCTGTGTTCCTCTCTGTCGCTACTTCCAAGATACGTATACGTACGTACTTTCTCCGGTCGATTTATGAACTTAGACAATATGATTCGACACGAATATTAATTAATGCCAACAAGGATTTTTAGCGAAGAAAACGAGCATTTCGGGAGACGGAGAAAATGGAAGATATGCTGTTATGTCTCCAATTCTCCACAGTCAATAGGCGGTGTTTGACATACGGCCATTATTTCGCATACGGGCCCAAACATACGCACCCAAGATTATTTCGCGTAGGGCCATAATTCCCATTAAAAGCCGGAAAATCTAGTAGGTACTCATTGCATGCACGCATGTTATCCAATCGGAATCGTTCTTCTGCCCCCCCCCCCCCCCCGGCCCCCAGGCGAATATGTAGTTATATTTCTGCGTCATTAATAAGTAGATTTGAATATTGAGATCTTTTAATACTCCTTCCGGGCATCTACGACATCTTAAATAATATATTAAGGTAGAGGACCCCTTTGTTTCCACACCTGCGTTGACGATCCCCTAAGCTGTCACCGAAGTAAGGCTTTGCTAATAAATTATTTGATTCCCTTATCACTTATTGGAACTAAATCAATCATCTACTCAGATTTACTGTGGATTTTAGCCCCACGAAAGGGTCAGCAATTGACAACTTATGGGATACCGGTATATCTGTGTCTGATCACTAATCATATTACGACCGAGTCTCAGGTGACGCTCAACACACGGGGAAGGTTCCAAGTAAAAGAAAAGAAGGCAATTGCAGGTGGCTGCAGGCAACTGGTCACCTTTTTCTTGCACACCATTTTCTGCCGTTTTTCGTCATTGGGCATAATTATCTGTGGTGCTGGAAAAATACAGGCTGGGTTGGACAGGCCAATTCCCCGCAATAATCAGGGGTAGCAGTTATTGATGGAACTCTGGAGATGCTGGATCAAGTTTCGAAAGTCATTTTCGCCCATTGAGGGCGTGTCCACTAGGATAATTCTGCACTTTCTTATTGTCCTGCATCGCTCCGTACACAAAAACTGGGTTTGTTACGGACGATTGGGTGTGGCGGCTATTTGTGCATCAACATAGGACTTGATCATGAGAGCATCCAGCTTCATTTTTGAGTTGACTAGACATGGCATAGGAACTTGACGCACTTAGGTTAACAATATCCTCGGTTCTTGGTTGACCCCCACTTTCAGCATTCAGCCCTGACCTGATCAGTAATCCAAGAAAATAGTAGCGAGTGATAGAACATGACACAACGACTTTTGGGACAATCAATGAGATATTAATGAGAAGAATTCTTGGGTTAGCGTTAAGCACAGATAGGGTCTCGTGATAAGAACACATATTTCCTTCTAGTTATAATTAATCGTGTCCTTTAGAGACCTACCAGGTTTATTCCAGATATTTGACGCCATGGCCTTGATGGTGTAATCAATATGGTACTATTCGCCGCGGGAATGACTTCCCGCCGCCATATTTGGGTCTTAACCCGTTTTCATATAAGTTCTCTAGTCTAAGCCAGCTCGCGAACCATTTTGCTTGACTTCGAGAAGTACCCGGAAACAGCTACCAACTTGGAACCAAGCTTACTCGGAGAAACATTCTGGGCCTTGTACCTCGTTCTCAGGCCTATTTATCCTCTGGCTTTGAGGATATATTGATTTAATCGGCCTTTGACAGGACAATTTTTTTTTTTTCATGGAGATGACATCAGGGAAGTTATATGTACCACAAGTGTCAAACGCAGCGAAGCGTCTTTCGCTAATTTTCTACTCAATAGTCTTGGTGATGATTCAGTTCATGGAGCGTCAACCACGCCGGCATTGAGTCGGTGCCATGCAGACACACGGCCCCGGCTTTTGGAACACCGATGGACCTGCGTGTCACCACGAAATGATTTATATCTGGTAGATCATTTCTCACAGGTGTGGTGTCAACAGGTATGGTACCACAAACACCAAACTCCTTAGGGCTTCTCGCTAATTCGGTTTCAAAGGGCTCGGATCAGGAGCCAGTCATTGACCCATGGTCACAAAACAGCCCATACAAGATCCAAAAATCTATGGACCAAAAAGCCCAGGCCCGGGGCGGAAAGCGGGATACATATGAATCAAAAACATAAAACAACAGCTATAGCTGCACGCACCTCACCCCCTGATATGTGTATGTACTTTAACATGACACAGATGCATAACGCGGTAAAGAGTCAGCAATGGGCAAATGGTTTTGTACAGCCAGAATCAAACCGATTGCTAACTAGCAGTCACCAGATACATTGAAGTGCGATTAAGGCGGGAGGACAATCACGGGCCTGCATGAAACGTGGAAAGGGCCACAAACAACCCGCGCAAGCACGACCGAAGCCCTATAATGGTCCCAGGTTAGGGGGATGTAGTTTCACATTGCCCTACAGTGATAGAAAAATGCTGAGATGGCATAGATGCCCTAAGGGCGCATAAATTATAGAGCCATTTATCACCCATACTTGTCAATCGCGCACGTACGTGCATGCACCGCCAGCCAAGCCTAGGTCTAACTACCAGCTGCGGTACGTATTTACCAAAACCCTCTGGAACTTCAAACAGCAAACCCTCAACTAAGGTTTTGTCCCTTTTAAATTTCCAATTTCCAATTGGACCGGACCGGTTTGAAATAGGACCCGGTGTTAATATTGAGTTTGCTATCATTGACACTTTAACTCCGTCAACCAGCGGCCGTTTTACCCGCCGGCACCGAGAAGAGAAGTTCTACTCCTTTTAAACTATGAGACCAAGGAAGATCCAGAAAACTAAATATCAACGGCGAAGCCCGAGAATAAGCCGACCCCGAACTGCGGCGGTAGGCCGCGCAGGCTTGACACAGGGCAAAGCTCCCTCGTCCACTAGTGTGCACACTCCGAGCTATCGAATTTCTGGTTACCGGTCAAAAAAGAGAGATTCGGTCATTAGAATCTTTCAGCGCGTCCTATTTTGTTGAGCCTTGGTTTCCATGTCTGACTGTCCGTAATACGGGCTGTCTCCGGGTGTGGCCTTGACTATACCCTCCGGATGATTACATTCAAGCGGGCATGGACGAAATAGATATTTACAAGGTACTATATCATATTATATCCAATTGAGCCTTCGTTCTCTTCTTTATCCACCGCTATTTTGATGGGTTAAATTATCGAGTGATATTTCATGTCTCGACTCTCAACCCTTCATCACATTTAAAATGGGGCATATTTGATTAGGTGGATCTTTCAGAAAAACCCATATTTTAATATTCAGCGAGCCCAGCCGGTACTTCTGATCGATCACCCTGCCTGAAACCACGAACGATGGCCGTAGAAATCATCTCATCGGTCAATAATTAAAGTGAATGTACCCAGGGGTGCCGGAAAGTGATGCAACGACTCAATTTACTACTCACGATTTCAACCACATGCAACCCAACTTTGACTTTAACGAAGCAGCGATATATAGTATATAAAGTAAAGAGAGTATGAAGAATTCATCAATCACATCAAAATGAAAGAAATTACATGTAAGGTGGTTGCGAATTCACTAAGACCTCACCCTATATTTCCAAGCCGTTGCATCACTTTTGGGTACCCCTGGGTACAAACAGTATCAATCACTTTAATTTTTTCTCATTTATTATGATCTCATTAGGCAATCTTAATCTGGCTCATCGTAGAGCCATAACACAAACTAAGTAGTTTCGAGTCACTGGAAATGCACCGGAAAACCATTATTAATTAAGCATCAGTTGGGTTTGGGCTTAGGTGTAGGCTTCCCTCTCTGGTGTGTACTATATAGCTAAAACTAGTGGGAATCAATAGATACATCCTTGGAGCCACTTAATAATAACTATTCATGGAGGGAGCGATGATAGAATAATAGAATAACCCTACTGGGCTATCTGATGTTGAGGATTTATGGGGGAGACGTAGATTCTACGCCATTTAAAGTGTTTGAGGAAATTTCTAGAACAAAATTTTGAAAGGTGTGATTAAACTTGTGATAAAGGTCGGCTAATGGAAACTCTTAATTTCTACTAGAGTATGGCCGACATGAATTGCATTGACCCTCCAATAGTACAGCAATATTGTGGTGATATTCAACCCGCATTATATCATCATTTCCTTTGAGTTATAATTAGACATATCTCAAACCTCTTTCTATGGAATCTCATAGTAAAATCCGTAGCTAGCACCGTTATTTTTAATTTCTCAACTATACAAAGCCACGTCCACCAAAACCACCGTCCTACTCGGCACCAACAGCCCCCCTAAAACTTCAAACGTCTCTTCAAAAACTCCACCATCGTCGCCAGTATACCCTCAAATACCTCACCCTCAAACGGATCAAAATGGCCGCCATGATACAGCTCAAACTCCTTCGGCTGCCTCGCCTTCTCAAACATTCCCAGCTCCACGTCTGGCACCGTTATCATGTCATTGTCCGCTTGGAACATCAACCACGGCGTCGGCGCCACAGCCTCGACATAGCCCGATGGGTCGTACGTCTGCAGATTGAATATGCTCTGTAGTGTATGTCTGTTCTCCCAGTTTGGCGCCACGGTGGCCTTCAACCTCAGAAGAAGCGAATTCGCATCTGCGAACGGTAGGAACGCTGGTTCGTCCCGGCTAGGGCTAGTGATTCGGCCGTACGTAGGCTCCTCGCCCCTGGCGCGGGCTTCGCGGTCGTCCATGAGGGTCTTGTCTAGCCCGGCTCTGGCATCACGGAGGACCATGCGGTTGAGTAGGCGGACACTAGACAGCATGGGCGAGAGGGTGATGAGGGCCTTGACTCTTCTATCTACTGCGGCGACTCTAACGCCGTGGCTTCCGGAGAGACTATAGCCCCAGATGGCGATCTTGGTGGGGTCGACTTCGGGGAGACTCATGACATAGGATATGGCCTCGTGCGTGTCTTTGGCTTGGTTATGGGCATCAACCTCAAAGCGCGGGGTGCCGTCGCTGGATCCCAAGCTTCGGTGGTCGTAGACAAGTGAGGCAAGACCGATTTCTTGGAAGCGTTCGGCGAGGGTGTCGAGGTACATTTCTTTCACCATGGACCACTGGCATGGGGGTACACCGCTTAGTTTGGTTACATGGCTAGGAGAAATTGGGGTCTTCATACGCCGTGTGTGATGATTATTGCAGGCGTCTTTTTGTCTTTTGTTCCCGCTGGATAGAACCAGCCACGGAGAGTCAAGCCATCGAGGGTCTTGAACTCGATATCGCGTCTTTCAGCACATTTACCCATTTTTTCAACGTAAAGGCTTCAATTGAGGTGGATGGAACTGGTTTATAGAGAACCTAAGGTATGTTCCACTTCTGGTGTGAGATTTCCACTCCTTTATATACCTCTCCAACTCTCTCCAGCGTCAAATCATGACACGACGACACCATGCCACAATCCCTCCCATCAATTGCCTCGGCAGTTATACGTGCGTTAATGAGGGGGAGGTTTAGAATCTGCTTCTTGATACCTTGTCTTGCCTTGGAGAATTGATCATCATGGATAAACCTGGCGTGTTCGGGGGTCTCACGATATGTAGAATTACCCCACACCAAAGCTTCTCGCTTCAGCTGCAGCCCTATCGATAGGAAATAAAATTGGCGGTTGTGGCTAGCTTCGGCAGCTGGTCCGATCGTTGAAATAGTAAGCTGACAAACAGACTTTCGGATATATCGCCTGTTGTTCCCCAATCGAGGCCTAATCGCTGTTCCTGATGACGCTTTTCGGCTGCCTTTCGGAACCTTTCAACTGCAAACCAAGAAGATAACGTCTACTTTGGGGTTATTCATCTATTGCCTTATTCCTCATTCTCGCCTACATGCAATAAGCTTCAAGGGTCCCCTGTGACTATGCCATGTCAAGCGAATAGTACATGCGACACTAAACCTCATCTGGAAGTGATAACTGCTGATATAACATGCTCTGCTTTTGAATACGGTACTTGAGTTCCTGCTATACGGAAGAACTCAATTCCGAGGATAATATGTGCTTTGAAAGGATGTATCATTCAAATATTACTCAAACTAAAAGGACGTGTATTAGAAGAACTGGCGCATATATACTCAAGACTTGATCAATTGAGCTCAAGGGCGCTGAAAAGCCAGACTCATGGAAATTGGGTGGCTTATTGAAAAAAAAACTTGTGTTCTAAGACAATCGGACTACTTTCCGAGATATCGGTAGCCAGCAATTGAAGTATTCTCAGATACTAATGTCTTAGACCCCTGTCTCAAATATTCTGATCATCATCCGGCAGGATCCGTATTTGTCATTATCATATAAATGACATACATAACTGCACGCAAGAAAACTGATTAGGAGCTTTAGATGGGACCAGTCGCAGTTGGCCATCCATTCCACGAACATTTACCGCAACGTATCTGTATTAAAAATCGATTTGGTGCACCAAGCTTTCATAGGTTCGGGGAAATGACGGGCTGAAGACTCCAATGTTGTCGTTGCCTCGGTAGGAATATGTCTCAACACTGAATGGCAGGCCAACCATATATAAAGCATACCTAAGCTGAATCCCTTTTGTTGCGGTCCACAAACCAAGATATAAGTCGCCACCCGGAGCGGTAATATTAAGTTTTGATCCCGTACTAATACAGTATCATTGCGGATATCCCTAATGAATCAATCTATAAATCAAGCCCGTGCGGCTATAAAGAATAATCACAGGCCATCACTCGGAGATGTGATTACGTAACCAAGACACCACACTTTCCCTAGCACCTCGACCCCGCCAGCCGATGGAGCTGCCGAATCTTTGGGTTCAGAGAGCGTAGTAGTGTGAATACCGGACTATAGAGAAAATTGATATTTTCAATAGTAGTAATTAACATCCAGCGATTTCTACAGGCCTATGTTTGTATTGTTTAAACAAGCCTTATACATATAAGGTCGTCAGCCCGAATGTCCTGGTCCTTGTCGGGTTCAGCCCTACTGGTCATATATAGTTCGGGTCTAGCCGATATTGAGACCGGTCTTTATCCCTTAAACCGTCAGGTCGAATTCCAATGCCAGCTACTAGCCTTAAATAGTAGGTATCCCCAGTTCAACGCGGTGTGTGTGCATGCTTACACGCTAGTGGAGGTTCGAGGCTATGCTCATAGCTTTCACTTACGGCGTTCACAAGATCATGATTACCAACTACAGCTAGTAGCTGGCATTGGGATTCGGCCTGACGGTTTAAGGGATAGTGTTATCTTCACCGTTGTTGGCCGGCTGTTGTGTTCACTCTTTTCTCCTCGACGACGATACGAGATGAAAATACGTAGAATGAACAAACTTGAACTATGGCAGACCAGACGCAAAATGTATATATTGATGATGCTGAAGAGGAAAAAGAAAGACAGTGACTAGCTAGCTATGAAGTCGTTCCCACTGTGGCCATCTTTACAAAGGAATTGTTTACACATGTCCTGCTGACTAATACTTGACTCATCCCTTTGCAGCAAATATGCCCGACACCGTCTCCGCTCTCTGCACGGCAGAGGTTGTGACCTGGAAAGGGCCCGCGGGTAGCCCGAACCACATGTGTGACCTTCGTCCCACTCCAATATTTTATGTGACCGCTTATGTACAGAGTCTGGTAGAATTATTGTGAAAGTGGGTTTTCCGTGACCCGATAGTCCTATTAGCCCTTAAAGGAATTTCTGCAGTGAGCACGGACCAAGAAGCCCACTCTTTTAGTTCTGACTTTCGCAATAATTCTACCAGACTCTGTTTAGTAAAGCCCGATATTATGACTGTCTTTTACAGTGTGTTCTAGTCTCAACGTAAGCCTGTCCGGTCTGAGCTATCGATTACTCTATTAATACGTTAGCTTTCATTCGCTACGAACGAGAATACGGAAGTATGAGTATACAAACTTTGTTGATCCCTTTTATTAGTTAAGTGAATCAGCTAGGAGAGTCTTGATAATTAGCACAGAAGAAGAACTCAGCCACCCACTATAAAACCCATACGTGATTTCCCCGATGCTGAAAACCAAATAAGCCTGTTTTCTTCGACCCCTCGGCACTTTGGCCCAATGGTCAACAGGTTTTGAAGACGCAGAACAATTCTTGAACAGAATCGTTCTGGCCAACAAAACCTATGAAACACAACCAAGCGGGAGGCAGAAAAGAAATAGATAGAATGGTGGGGTGGGAATGTTCTACGTATGGAGAGGAATGGGGTGAGTGAATAATGATGGGCATCAAAGAGATGATGAAGGATGGAATTGATGGAATAAAGGTTAAACTGCACGGAAATGGGGTTGATTTTAGATAAATATGGATGGTGTGTGGATGAAGGTGGAAAGAGTGGATTGGGGGGGGGAAAGAAGAGATAGCGGAAGAAGAAAAAGAAGAAGTAATGTGCGGTGCAAGCCGGTCCTGTTCCAGTAGGCTCGTCCCCAACCCGTCTTCTTCGTACTGGGGCAGCTTGCTGCAAGTAACGGGTTGGGTACAAGACTAGTGTAATCCCTGCGTGCCGGGCAGTAAAAAGGGCACAGCATCTTCGGCGGGAATATCATGTAAAGGTGAGGTACGTGTTTATAGTAAGTGTTACTACATGTACTATGTAGTGCGTACGTAAGCGTTTTAGTATAGGCCAAGCTAGTGGATGTTACGTCTACCTGTGCGTTTAACATCTTCCCCAGCAGGCAGATCTCGAAGTTCTGTTAGCATTGTGGTATATGCCTCCGGTTTAGGAAACTTATGACGACAGCGGATACCGGGTTCGAATCCCGCTTAGTAATTCCACTTTCCAACGGAACACTTTTTTTTTTCTTTTACCTCAGTTCTATTGTTGAAATGGAAGTTCTCTGGTCCAACCATCGACGCCCCCTATCCACGGACAACAGACACGGCTTAGTCTCGTACCCATCCTCTACAAGTACATACACTTAGCAGCAAGCTAGAAGACGGGATGTATGCTATAGCTGGAAAGCAATCACATATGTCTTACTCACAAAATCTCACTCGCTTTTTTTAGGGATGTCTAGGTGACGTGAGTTTAATCACTCGGCCCCAAAGAGAAATATCGATAGTTTTAAAATCAGGGGTGTAGAACAGCTCTGTTTTTGTCGATGGCTTTGTAGAGTTACTCGTACTGGGCCACAATAGCTACATATGTTTTCAAACCCACTTATATTTAGGTATTCAGTAAACGTCCCTCGTGAATTCAACGCAATCTGACGAGGGACAAAGTCGATACACCACTAAAAATCCACAAAGTAATGTACCATGAATTGCTTCACAGGGCTATAGAGCTGGTTTCTGTTAGTTGTGTATCGATATATCTTTAATTTATGATACCTATATTTCAAAGATTGGAGAACGAGTACACATAATAAGCCGGTGATTACACCTCAAGTGAATGGAGGAAATCGAGACTACATTTCATCTTTACCTTGAACGACATCTAGTGCTGCAGGAGATATAATATCACTACACACGGAACGCGAAGGCGGCAGAGGTCTTGACTCATGCAGCTGAAAAGCATGACCAGAAGATGAAATATGGTTCAAGACTCGATGGAGGTTAGGTGTGTATCCTGTGGCAAAATAAATAAATCACTACCAATTCTGCTCTGGAGACGACACTAACGAATATTCTGGCCAATGAGAATTTCATACGCCCCAGAATACACACCTACTCTCCATCGCGACTTGAGCCATAAATCCGCCTTGATGATGTAGAAAAGTCGAAAAAGAAATGATGCTGAAATGTCAGATACCAGCTTCCTTCCTTTCGGAGCCCAGTGAAAGACAGTTCAGTGGTCATGATGCGCCGTAAGGGACTCGAACCCTTCCCAGTTGCTAACATTGATAATGGAAGGCAACTATGCTACCCCTGCACCAACGGCGCTTGAGAAAAGGTGATTGACTAGAAAATTTGAATGCAGATATCACTAGTATCATTGCGCTAGTGATTGTGATCCTAGTACTTGCATTAGTGAATTATTTGGTTGAAACTAAACGCTAAAAGGACATTCTCTGCAGTTTAGCTGGCACCTCATCGACATTCCCCATTAAAATTATATTCCAGACGTTGGACCTTAAACCTTGAATTATGATATCTTTTAAACAGCGGTAAACGAGGTTGAAAGTACTCGCAAGCTTAAAGACAACGTTTCAGGAAATTATAAGTCCTTTTTTGCCACTCGTTACCATGCACTACCGTCATCAAAACATTCGAACCTCTAATATAAATAACACTCTACATAAAGAAGCCATATTGGTTCTCCGGATATCTATTCCTACACCCATAAAAAATGAAAATAAAAACACAACCCAAACACACCCGTGCATTCATCATACCTCGTATAGACCCTATTAAACGCATACAGAAAAGGCTAAAAGATAAAAATACCCATACAAGAAAAGAAACTCAACTAAAGCTACCTTTCGCCAAAACGCCCAACACACTCTGTCTCTTGAGCCCCTCCTTCTTCCTCTCAATCTTCTTCTTTGCCTCCCGCTCATGCACAACCTTACTCCTGAGCTGCTCTCTAGACTGGAAGTTGATTGAGGAGCTCGCCTTGCCACCCCTCTTCACAGCGCCATCACCCTGACCAAGAGTCCTTTCGGTCCCGACAGAAGACTCTGAAAGACTGCTTGAGGTGGCACGGCGAAGAAGAGTTGGTACTTTGAAGGTTGAAGCATTGCCTGAGGTTTGGAAGGCAAGCTTTGTGGTATTACTGGTGGCACTATTGGCACGCGCAACAGCGGAACGGTCGATGACGCTGCCGATGCGCTCTCGGCGGAGTACAGCAGTTTTATCTTCCTCTTCATCCTCATCCGAGAAGTCGATTTGGGAATCTCTTTCTTCGACGAGGAAGGATAGTTGCTATGGAAGATGTTAGTCATGGACTGTCACTCGGATGATAAACACGGGGGAGGGGGGCAAATTACCTCTCGAATTTGGGCCAGTGATGTAATCTTAGTTTTGTTGGCCGTTCTTCTACTATTTGATGCCTGCAAGGATGAGGCCTCCTTACTCCTTTCACCCCGCTGCTCATCCTCTGCCACCGGGACCGGGCTCGCCTCCTCACTTTCTTCGAGTGTCTGACTCTGAGAGACACCATCCGTCTGCGATACCATGCCCAACTCGATAAACAGGTCCTCCTCACCTCTATCCAAGAAGTCCATCTCCTCATCTCTATCGCGATCCTCAATCGCCGCCAAAAACGCCGCTCTCTTGGGATTAGCAGCGATCTTTTCGATATTCTCATCCTTGAGCAGCTCCTTCCTCATCTTCGCAATCTGCCTTCGCTTCGCAGCTCTGCGTCGTGCCTCCGCATCGTCTTCGTCTTCGGAGTCATCGAGATCGAAGTTGGCGCCGCGCTTTTTGCGTAGGAATCCGGATTGCATATCCTTGAGCAGCTTCGTGACGTCTTTAGCATCCTGCGCCTTTTCACGCTCGGCGTAGAAAGCAGCCATGTCGTTTTCGTCGACGGCCTCGCCGTTGGTGTCGTCGACCATGTCCTCCATCTCGCTGTCGTGGCCGTTATCGGCATCGTCATCGGAGGCGCCACCAATTCCGGCATATTCATCTTCCGACTCTTCAGCTTGTTCCTGCACCATGCCTTTGGCTTCACTCTTGGATTTGTCAAAGTCGTCTGGTTTTTTTGGTTTCTTTGTCTTCTCAGCCTGTTTCTTTGATGACCTCTTCATCAAGTCAAAGAGATTGGCAACATCCGGCAGCTCCTCTTCTTCCTCTTCAGCGGCAGAGTCAGCTACTCGCTCCTCATCTTCCTCTTCTTCGTCAGAGAAATCCATATCCTTCCTCACCAATCGCCCCCTCCTCTTCTTCTGTGCGCCAAACTGCTCATCTAACACCTGTGTTGAAAGTGTACTAGGCACCTCCGGCTCCGGTGTAAATCTCGGCGGCGCTGGAGTATTCGCGATCGTGAAGCCCTGATCCTGTGTTGGATCTGGCATATCCTCTTCATCCGACCCATACTGCAGCGACACCTTCGACATCTGCTGCGAGTCTTCTACGGGCCATTTCTGGCTTTGAGAATAGTCGAGCTTGAGCTTTGCACTCTCGTCCTGGCTCTGGCTCTGGGTCCCATCGCCAAAGTCGAGAATCTGCGTGTTCGGCATCATCTCACCCGCGTCGCGCCGGAGAAGATTGATACGGTCTTCGGGGTTGGCGGCCTGGGAGGTAGCGATTTGTACGTCATTAGGATTGCCCATGGTGCTTTCGAACAGCTGGGTCATCCCCATGTCCATCATCATCATTGGTGGCTGGGCGTTCGGCCGGCGGAATATGGAGGGAATCTTCGATTCAGCTGGTTTGGGGGCGGGTGGGGCCTCTTCTTCTTCGTCGTCGGAGATAACACACATCTTCTTGCGTTGCTGCTTCTTCTTTTTCTTAAGGGGCGCAAACTCACCACCGTCGCTGTCATCGGAGGCTTCGTCGTCAATGTATGCCGATGGCACTTCGGAGAGGCGTGGCGTTGTATTTGTAAGAGGGCGCATAGAGGACAAACTAAAGACGGGGGTACTATTCGGGTCCTGGAGTCCCCCGTCTTCTCTCTTCTCGTCGTCCGAGAAATCATTGACATCAGATTTCTCCCCACCCTCTTCTACATCATCCATCTCCTCTTCGTCTCCACCTTCCTCGTCGGACCCTGACAATAGTTCAATGATGGGATCTTCTTCATCACCGTCCACCCAATCCTCATCTTCTTCATCGTCATCATCAATCTCTAGCCCTTTCTCCAATTTCTCTTGCCTCTTCTCAGCCCTCTTGATCTTGAGCGCCTCCTGCCTAGCTTTCTCTAAGAGATCGTCCACCTCGGCCTTCTCCTTCTCTCTCTCTTCCGCGGTAGGAACAATGATCCCTTCGCTCGCAGCTCCTGGATATGTTCCTCCCGCTCCATCTCCGCTTGCTGCCGCCCCTTCCGTACCAACTCCATCTGGAGCTCCTTAGCACTCAACTGACCCGCCTTCTTAGCCCGCGGCGGCGATGGGCGTCGCGCTTTCCGTAGCTCCCGGATCATCTTCTGGCGCTCAATAAACGTAGCTACTGCCGTGGAGGGTTGATTTGGCAGGATCTCGAGGTCTGAGTCGGAGTCATCGGCGGTAGTGGTAGAAGGTCGTGAAGGAAGGATTACACGGACGGGTGGCAGGGAGAGCCGTTTTTTGGTATCAGGAGGGGGCGCTTTACCTTTGCCTTTGTCGAGGCGTGGTGGACTGGGGACTGCTTCTTTACCCTTGGCCTTGTCAAGGCGGAGTGGGCTGAAAGCTGCTTCTTTACCTTTGCCTTTACCAAGAGAGATTGGAGGGCCGTTATACACCGCCTTGCCTTTGCCCTTATCGAGCTTCTTTGAGGGTGTTGCGTCTAGGTCCATGGCTTCGAGCTGTGAATTTGGTAGCGGGATCTCTGCATCATCCATCGTCGTGTCTTCGATCCTTTCCACTATGGTTTGCTCTAAGGGTAAAACTTCGGGCTTAGGTTTCTCAACAACACCCTCAACAGAACTATCCACCGCCGCCGCCGCAGTGCGGAAATTGAATTTATCGAACAAGCTCTGCTTCGTTATCTTTTTCCGCGTTGTCGCCTGATGTGCCAATTGCATACTCCGTGCCATGCGCTGTGTCTCTTTATGTATCTCCTCCATTGCCTTCTTTCCCGCGCGCCGTCGACTTGGCGCCTTTTGCGAGTTGGCGTAGTGGTTTGTATCCGAGCCGCTGTATTCTTCGTCATCCTGTTCTACTTGGTTCTTGAGGCGCTCAGGTTTAGCGGCAGCTTCAGCAGCTTCTCGGGCTTCGCGCTCTGCCCCCTTTCGCGCAACTAGGGCGGCGAATGCGGGGGTACCACGCTGGGCGGAAATGGGTGCTGTATCTTGCTGTTCATCCTCTTCATCATCGCTGTTGTCTGCCTCTTCTGCGGTTGGTGTAGCGGTGGGAGAGGGCGTGGGGGATGTGCGTTTCTGTTTGAGCGCACGTTTTCGGATTGGGGCTGGTGTGACATCTTCCTCAAAGTCTTCTTGATCCTGCATCTCTGCATCGCTAGGCTCTTCGTCTCTACCAAATAGACTGCGATGTTCGCGTGGCGGAGCTGACGGAGCTGGCGCCGGGGCCTTTTTCGTTTTCGCCTGTGCCTTGTGTGCAGCCATCATTCGCGCAGCGAGCTTTCCACGGGGTCGTATTTCCTCTTCTTCCTCGGCATCCATATCTGAGTCCTCATCTGTATCATTCTCTGGGTTAAACAACCGCCTCTCCGTCACTGGCTCTTCTGTACCTAACTCTTCATCTTCGTCGTCTGAACCAAGCCCTGTCCTCAGGGTATTCTTCTTGTCCGTGACGCCAGGGGGAGGCTTTGCAGCCTTCTTTAGGAGAACAGTGATATCCTCTTCTACATCGTCGTCTTCTGAGTCGCTGGCCATCATATCTATGAACCTCGCAACTTTTGTTCGCGGCGTTACAATCGGCGATCCACTCATGCTGTCGCGGGAAGGGGTGCCCGGAGGCGAGGGAGTCATTGTTGATGCCATGATGGGTGTTTGTGTGGAGGATTGGTGGGTTCAATTCACCAGAATCGTGAATTGTAAAGTTCTCGCTCGAAACGGCAACGGTGTCTCTGGGTAACGCGCCTAGGGGAAACGCGCCAAGGGGCTACATACTAAAGTTTACTTTACGCGTGGGAATGACTAAGGATCGGACAGCCGTGCACGTGATCTTAGCGGGATGGGCTAGGGTTACATCTTGCGGCACGTGATTGGCAACGCGGGGTCTCGAACAACAGCTACAGCAGGCAGTGCCTGGGAGAAAAGGGTCTTTAGAGGGGTTTTTCCCATTTGACGGGCTGAATGGTAACGATAGGGTGCAGTAGGCAGAAGGGGACGTGGGCTATACTGATCGATCGGGGATCTTCCTTACACTCGCCGCTGCCAGTGCTGGGAACAAGTGTTTTTACTTGCCTTCGGGGGCGAGAGCTGGGTGAGTTTTTTTTTTTTTTTTTGGCTTTTTCGCCTCACCCATAGCCTGTAGTGCCATGAGATGATTAAGCTCTTTCCTTGGCATTTATGTCTCTGTTCTATTTTGGTCGTCGGCTAGGCTCTCTAGTCATTAAACAAACAATTATCAGTTTTTTACCTGGATAATTATTCATTATACTATTCACCCTTCAATGAGGTTTACCAACCCATAGCATATGCGTAAAACACATAGGCAGCATAGCATAAAACGCATACTCTACTCTAGCATATGCGTAGCGCGGTGGTAGGTGGTGCTAAGAATAGAAAGCCACTTGTGGACCGTGTTCCCCTTTCTCGATATCGGGCGCTTGTACTGGCTCTACGGGCCCCGGTTCTGGGGTTTTGGTTTGTTAATGGGCGTTTACGGATCATCATAAACAAGATCTAGAGGCCATGGAGGTATTCACCGTTGTCTGTGTGAGTAATTGCAAGGTCGTGGTGTTAGACAATAGAAAGCTCGCGTAAGAGGTATATAACAATATCATAGCGTCCTCCTCCTCCACCTTCTACCCCCCTCCTCCTTAGGAATATATCCCCCCCATTGACGTTCAGGAGAGTATTACTCAGTGTGTGCCTTGGTATATCCACCTAATTAACTTATTGGCCCGGTGATAATTTCTCTCGTCCTTTCTTTAATCACTCAGCACTATATTTCAGCTGTGATTTCGAGCTGCTACTTATTTAGTAGGGTGCTCTCTTCTCTCCTTCTCTCTATCTCTGCTCTGCATCCCTCCTCGCTCTTTTTGCTTGGACATCCCCATCTATCCAAAACAGCCCCTTCTACAATTCTCCGGGTTTCACGATCTCTCTTTGGTGTTGCCCAAACCCAGGCCATCTTCGGACCAGGGAACGTAAAGCATCCCCTGCCTGCCTGCCTACGCCTGTAGACTGTCTGCCCCGCCCCACCACCAACCACTCGCTCACTACAACCGCTATCTTGTACTCCACACATACAAACCCACAACCCCCCTCCCCTCTCCCCCGTAATCTGCCTTCTGCCTTCTGCCTTCTGGCTCTGGGCCTTTATCTGCAACTCCGCGCGTCTTGTCTTGTCACATCCCGTGATTGTGGACCAATAACCACAAAAGCACAGCACAGACAGCACAACAGAAACGAAAGGAACGGACCTCCACCCCCCTCCTCTAATCATACTCTTACCCCCTCTTCCTCACCGTTCATCACCCACCACCTCCCTCTTCTACTCCTATCTCCCACCTCTTCTCCCTACTTCTACTCCTCCTCCTCCCTTTATCCTGCAATCCTCCATCCTAATCAACTCCTCCTCCCGCCTACAACATCAACAATGACCGAAGAATCAGGCTTCAAAGCCAAGTCGCTCAAGCGCAAGAACTTGAAGGGTTTGAAGCTCTCAGAGACCCCGAAACCGGCGGCTCCGGCGATAGAAGACCCTGCGAACAAGATCAACGACATTGGCGACCAGCTCAGCACGCTCGAGATCGGGGTGGAATTTAAGCTAGACCTGAGAGCGGAGGATCTAAAGGTTGTGAACGAGCTTGGGGCCGGTAATGGCGGGACGGTCAGTAAGGTGGTGCATGCGCCGACAAAAACCATTATGGCGAAAAAGGTATGTTTTTTTCCCTGTTTCTATCCTGTTTTGATTTCGGGTCAGGGAGGGGGCTGGTCTTTTCCGGGTATTTGGCAGCTGGCGGGAGTGGGTTGGGTGGGGTCACGGGAATGAACTACATGCGAGATAGGTGGAAACGGATTCAAAACGGAGGGCTAACTTTCTCAAGGTTATACATATAGATGCGAAACCGTCAGTTCGGAAACAGATCGTGCGCGAGTTGCACATCATGTACGAGTGTCACTCCCCATATATTGTCTCCTTCTACGGTTCTTTCCTCAATGAGGGAGACGTCGTCATGTGCATGGAGTACATGGACTGCGGGTAAGCAATCAAGCTCAGATCACCTTTTTGAGAGCCTTCGAGCTTTACTCCAGTATCAATTTATTAACATCTCCACAGTTCACTCGACAGCATTGCCAAGAAAGTAGGGCCGATCCGAATCGACGTCCTAGGGAAAATCTCAGAAGCCGTCGTGGAAGGTCTCAACTACCTATACAACGTGCACCGAATTCTCCACCGAGATGTCAAGCCCTCCAACATCCTCGTCAACTCCCGCGGTTCAATCAAGCTTTGCGATTTCGGTGTCTCCGGAGAACTCATCAACTCCATTGCCGACACATTTGTGGGCACATCAACCTACATGTCCCCTGAGCGCATAAAGGGAGCGAAGTACTCGGTCAAATCCGATGTCTGGTCACTGGGTCTTTCACTGCTCGAGCTGGCAATCGGGCGCTTCCCATTCGACGCTGACGGCACAAGTGCCGGAACCCGTGCCTCGGCTGGCCCAATGGGTATTCTGGATCTGCTCCAAAAGATCGTCAACGAGCCAGCGCCGCGTCTCCCCAAGAACAAGGCCTTCCCGGCGAGCTTGGAGAAGATGATTGAGCACTGCCTGATCAAAGACCCCGAGAAGCGACCTTCCCCCCAGGAGCTCTTGGAGGAGTCATTCATGCGCGCCGCGAAATCGACTAACGTGGATCTGGAAGCATGGGCGCACGGCATCCTCGACAAGCCCCTAAACCGCCCCTCGCGCCAATCGCAAATCATGTCCCCGCCACCTGCAGCACACCGTGAGTCACCTGCCCCGCCAAGACAGTCAATACATGAGCCCCCACAGGCCCCACGCCGCCCTTCGTCTGGATCCGACCGTGTAGACCGCGAGAGGGATCGCTCGGAGAGATCTCATGGTTCCCCGCTGGGACACCATCCAAACCGGACTAGCTCTCACACAGGGCTCCGCGAGGAGAGTAGCAGCCATTCCCGCTCCGGCTCTGGATCACGATCAGGCTCAAGACACCAACTCCACAAGAGCCACACTGAGCCCATGAATGTTCCGTCAGCAGACCGGGAAGCTCGGGAGAGGGCTCGGGAACAGTATCTCAAGGAGCAGCAGGAGGTTGAGCGATTGCGACAGAAGGACTTGGAGCGCGAGAGGGAACGCGAGAGAGAGTATAGACAGGGCACGATCGGCATCGGGTTTGAGGGTATGCAAATCAATGCGCCGCCCGGGACACAGCCGGAGATGAGGGAGAAGAGGAAACCGCCTATGGGTGTCATGAGCAGTGGCAGTGGGGGGATTGGTGGCAGGCCCGTAGAGGAATGGAGTGGGCGTCGTTAGGTCAATTGATGGGTTCTTTTTCTTTTTTCTTGTCACTTTTTTTTTCGTTTTTGTGGTTCTTTTGGACAATTTCTTCTTCTATAGTGTGTAGTTTTTTTTCTCTTCCATACCTTCCATTATATCCATTTCTGCTTCTTTTTACTTCTCTTCCTTCCAATGGGTTGCATTTGGCTGGTTGTTTCTTTCTGTTCTGACGGTGGTTTATCTGTGTGCTGTTGATGTTGTTGTTGCTGCTGCTGGTGTGGGCTGGATTGAATGATGGACCTGGGATTGGGATGGGATATTAACTTATGGCGAAAGCGTTCAAGCTTCGGTATTCTATTTCAAATCAATATTTTCACTATTTACCTTCTTTCCGTTCTTTATGTAGTATGTAAAGGGGGGAGAGGTGGTGTGATCGAGGTTGGCTTTGTCAAAACGTCTTGTGAATTTTTTTTTATAGTAGCATCATGTGCAAAGCGTTGATGTCTTTCTTCTTCGTTATATACCAGCTGACATGCAGCGTTAAATCTATTGCTTATTGCCTATTCTCTCACCACCTCCTCCTCTTCTCCCCCCTCCCCACTTCCGTCTTCATTGTCAGCTTATGAATGCAAAAACTGTACTCTATACCTGTACCATAACTCCACAAAAACTCCACTCACTCACCCCTCACCTCACGGCTACCGGCCCACCCCCACCCGAGTGACACCCCATGACGCATACTAACCGCCAAGCGACTTCCCCTTCCCCTGATAGGACCCTGAGCGGGCCCTGCCTGGGAGGGGGGCGCGGGACGGACTAGCTACGCTTTCCAGGCAAGCTTCGAGCGCCAAGTCGGCCCGCCAAATCTCGACGGACGGGACGTTGAGGCGCCAAGACGGCAGTTGGCGGGCAACGTGGGCGTGTGGGTGGGTTGGCGGCGCTAGGGATTGGTTGGTGAGTGGAGGTGTTGGTGCGAGTGAGAGTTTGTGATGCTTGCGAGGGGGACTGCGGGGGATCAGGACTAGGGGCTAGTCTCACGCCCGTTATCTGCGAGCGGTGAGCACCAAGTTGCTTAGGGAACGGGTCTAGCATGGGGGATAAGGTTTTGGGTAGCGGGTTGGTGAGAGAGGTGGCTTTGGGGCTTGGCGATTAGGGCCACATCTACACACCGTCTTTTCACTCCATTGCCGCATACACTTCTCTATCATCTCTATAATCCCTGTCCCCATCACCTCTATCGTCTTAATAGCCCCACAACGCCCTATACAGGTTTTGCATGAGGATTGCCGGTTATGGCCGAAGAACCTTAATGGAAAACCTGCCGATTCCTGGGGGCAGACCGAGGAATCGAAGGGTTATGTGATCTTTTGGCTAGCCCCCATGTCGATAGCAAATCGACGTGCATATAGTTGATGACTAGAGGTAGATGGGTGTGTATTGTCTGTAAGGGGCTGGTAGAACCTGCGCCACCTGTTGATGGGATGACTGTGCGGTCTGGTCCGGTATGTGGGTGCTCATCTTATAGCGGGGTGGTTTTTGTCTCATAAGAGTGGCCAAGCTCGTTCAAGTAAGTATAATACCAGTGAATTTCAGAATAAGCCTTTTTGCTAGCATTCCTTGAATAACTAGCTGGAAAGATGGTCGTTTCTAGGCGAATTAATGAGTGATGTCAATTCCTAGCTCACCACATTTTCTAAACCCCCGATAAGTAAAGATAAGAACCGGGCAGCTGGCAGAAGCAGTTGATTGCAAATCAGACAACCACTTTTACGGCTGGCGTCCAGAGCTTTCTAGTTGTACACACTCGGTGAGCGGTAGCGGTTGCGCGCCACTAGGTAATTCACGTTGACAACCCATGGGCTCTCGTCATCCAGAGGGGATCCCGGACGGTAGGCATTTAGGTAGAGTTTACTAACAAAATGTTTCTAGACATTCTTTGGAGTTTCATAGGGATATCTGACATAACACGGTAGGCAAGGCCATGAAAGGCGCGGTAGAGCATTGCCATGAGCTCCGGTGACAAGGGAGCGCGCCAAGAACCCTATCCTGTAGAAATTCCTCAACCACAAGTCCGTTGTGATGAGACAAGTATTACCAAAACTCTGCAAAAACCGGATGTCTCCTGTATTCGTCCAAGAGAAGGTGGAATATGTGGAATAAGCCTAGTGGTAGTTGAAAGTAAGTCAGCGGCTATAAAACAGACCACTCAGTACGTGGGTGCAGGAAGACAGATATGTAGATTCCAGGATCGATATTTTTGTATAGTGTAGCACTACTACGTAAGATTCCTATATAGGTTAACAATATCTAACTATGAATTCACGAACTCCATTGATCATAAAGCGAGATTTTCTCAGGCGGAGTCAGCCGGCCAAGGATTTTACACGATGAATGACACTCAGAGATATCCGCGGACTTGAACATCTCTCGGTCTAAATAGTCTATTACTCATGGTACACCAAACCCCATACTTCTTATTACCATAAAGAGAAGCTCCAGTTTCGTTATCCTCCCTGCGTGTCCAATTTAAAGGGGGCGAGTGAGAATGAGTGACGGGACCGCATGATTGAGGTACTGCAGGAACGATGCGGAGAGGAGATTCTAATTTATCCCAGATTATACAAAGATGAAGGTTCTTGCCTGATAAGCGCTCTACGCCCTCGCCTTCTCAATGGTGGATGTTTGTTTGGCAATTCGTGAGGACTGGGAGGGATGGGTATAGGGCAGCAGGATTGGGGTATGGATTTCACAAAGGGTTATCAGCCCGAAGATTATGTGTTAAGCCTAAGGACATACTACATGTATGCCACGTACACGTAATTCTCATCGGCTCCGGATAGACTTTTGTATTGTACAAAGATTAAATTTGATAATCACAGCGCTAACTACATGTACTTCCCGACAAAATCTTGGGCTACGCACTCTTTAATTTGGCCGCACTTGGCGCTCAAGCCCTCCCGCCCTTTCTTATAAGACCCTCTTCTCTCTCCTTCTTCTTTCTTCCCTTTCTCCCAACTCCATCACAACTCCATCCTCTATCCAGGTTTCGATTATGTTGATTCGCTCGTTTTACAGAACCAACATAATTGGAACCTGTTGGCTCCTGGGCGGCATTAGCACCGAGGGGCCAAAGAGGATGGGGAAATTGAACTCGTGAGATTCCTCTGACCAGGTTTGTCGGTCCTCCTCAGTTTCTAGGACGCTGGAGGATTGTCAAACCTGGCGATTCCTGGGTGCTGTCTATTGATGGGCCGAGGAATCGAAGAGGTTGAGGGTAAATTAATTTCTTGATACCAAACACTCTGACCAGGTCTGTCGGTCCTCCTCGGTTTCTAGGACACTGGAGGATGGTCAGACCTGGCGATTCTTGGGTGCTGTCTATTGATGGGCCGAGGAATCGAAGAGGATGGGGGGTAAGGGAGTTCTTGATGCCAGATTCTCTAGTCAGATTGGGTTTTCGTATTCTGCTCCGTGCCGAATGAAGTCCCAACCTGTCAATTCTTGGGTGCTATCTATTGATGGGCCGAGGGATTGAAGGAGAATCTGGTAAATCAAGACGTGGTACTGGTAGCGTCCGAAGAGCTAAACGGATGGGGGCGCTGCAGTTATCTCCCTCGTATCGTTTTGTTGAGAGGGATCAGGAAGATGATGATAATGAAAGAGGGTGTACTTCGTACCTAGTTTAAGTGAAAGGTCGAAATCGTAGCTACATGTATCCAGGTTGGTCTCTGTTCCCCCCAATTTCTCTCCTGGATCGAGAGCCGTAGTTCTGTGCGTACCTGCCGCAAAGCAGAACTGTCAGAGGGAGCGGGACAAAAAACTCGTCTAACAAAACTCGATGAGAAGAAGCCCCAGAAATCTTTTTTCATCAACCCCTTATCCGCTCTAGCTAGCTAAACGCGCACTGGCCTCCGCTTACTCCCAAGAGTCAGCAACAACCCCTCCATCTCCGTTTGCGAAGCCTCTATCGACCTCCTCGTCCTCTCCATCAAATTCCGGATCTCCGCCCTTTTCAGTAAACATCTCCTCCATGCATCCTCATCAAGGTTTCTCTTCGGCGATCCGAAGATACACTTAAGCGCACCCACTATTCCGTGGGACTTGTATCCGTATGTCTTCAACTCCTTCATTTCGGCCTCAAGCCGTATGTATTGTCTTTTCAGGGACTCGATTTTGTGTTTTGTGGCGTTGATATGAGCTAGGTGGGCATCTCTCTGGTGCTTTGGGTTTCTGTAGGCCGCCATATTGTAGGGCTGTCGGTGTTTCTTAAGGTGGGGGATTTCAAATTGTTTGGGAAAGCTGTGACGGTATCATGGCCTATGGGAGATAAGAGGACAGGCTTCTTTTAAAGCGTCCATTCTGATTTCAAGTCTACTATGGGAGGTCACGTTTGTGGGGCATATCATGGGCGGGTTTGCCCCTGGTTTATATGAGCAAGTCATTCGTTCGTGTCTGGATTTGGATTGACGTCGGGGTTTTCAAGTACTCTAGGTGTCTGATACTCACAAGGCAGATACAGCGGAGATGGAGATCAAGAGCATCTAGCGAGGTATATCTAAAGGAGTCTCGACTGTCGAGCCCTCATTGGTTTTAAGTGTGAAACATGATCGTGATAGACAGATGGGGAGATATATATGTGAAACTATTCGCATTCTGTAGTCGTCTTTGTTGGCAAGAATATCAAGTAGGCGGTACTACATGTAGTATTTCAACTGACTCACCATCCATCACTCGCTGATCAAAACATGATGTCTTGAAATCCCTCGGCTAGCGCTATAACTCATAAGCGGTACCAGTGCGTTTACGCTTACCCGACCGATACTAGCGCCATTTATGGGAAGTGGTCATTTGTTTAAGGTCTCTCTTTAGGAGCCGGCCCTTTTATAAGAAAACAACATTTTTCTTGACCTCCGGTTAGAAAGATCTCAAAATGGCGTTTCAAGGAGATGCACCATCGCGGATAGATTGTAATTGTAAAGACGGCGGGGTTTACGATTATGGGTTCGGATTTGGGATTGCCACATGCAGGTACGATGGCCAAAAGTTAAAAGCAGGTCCGGTTGCGAAAATGAAAACACTGTTTTTATGAGGTTGACGTTGTTTTCTGAATCACCTGCTAAACACAGCTCGTTTTCTCAGAACAGAGTTTTACGCTATTGCAGTTACTATGTAACCATCAGGGTGCGAACACTCATATATATGTACTGTATACCGATAGTAAAAATCTAGAGTATCTCCCCTGTATTATCACCGCATTCCATTACTTCAAAATTGTTTCTATGCACGTTCGATCCCAGAAGAAGGATTAGAGTGAAAGAACCAATTCAATCACCGTATATACAGTTGGTTTTAACTTAGTGTAATTTCACCCTTCTCAAAAACTAATCACGCCCGTTAAATCGTAGCAAATATTAATAGAATTTTATTGGCTTTGAAGTACTGTTCGGCAATGTCGAAGCCCTTTACTCCGCCTTGACCGCTCTGCGCTCGTTTAATTTCATTAGTGCTACATTTGAAGCTAGTATCACTTGGCAGATTCAAAATTTTAAATTTGCTATGTTGTATCAAGCGCCGTTGGTGCAGGGGTAGCATAGTTGCCTTCCATTATCAATGTTAGCAACTGGGAAGGGTTCGAGTCCCTTACGGCGCATTCACAGCTGGTGGTTTCAGTGAGTGACTCTGAAATTCAACAATTGTTTTTTTCTTCTCTATTTTAGGTTTTCTTAACTGCGAACTTATTTCGTCTAGTAAGTTGGTTAAGTTAATTCCAGATACCCCTTCTATAGATCTATAGACCCCATAGTCCTCGCCCGGTATATATCATGCGTCCAAGTAGACAAGATATTGTTTCCAGGACTCCCGCAAAGTTTTGGCACCCTGCTTTAATCCACGATTGCAACAAATACAGCATTTTTGCTATCTCGTGTGCTATATAAAGTGCTAATCTCGCTGTTGATATCATCAGACGTTGAGCTCGGCCTTGAGAGTGCCAAAACCTTGCGGACGCGGCTATACGTGTGGTCGTCGCTATCTAAGTTTTAGCTTTGTGTGCGGTGGGCGGCGCACAGGCTTGTTGGACCTCTGTGTGATTTTTAAACAACAGTTACAAAACCCTGGTAGCTATAGCCGAGTGATAGGATATGATGATACTTCAGGGTAACCCGGTCCAACCTCGAAAAAAAAGTTGAATTAAGCTCCAGAGCCTCAAAGATACCTAGCGAAACAAACCTCACCATCTCACCTCACTCTCAACCTCTCTCACCACAACCACACTTAAATACCAGCCTCAATTCTACACAGCCATGTCGTCCATGCGCAATGCCGTCCAAGTCTGTAACCTTCTTACCTGCCACCCCCCAAAGCAGAATACTAACGCAACACACAGCGGCGAAACCACAAAGAGCGTTCGCAACCCCAGGAGCGCGCGAAATGGGGTCTCCTCGAGAAGAAGAAGGACTATGTCCTTCGAGCGCGCGATTACAACGCAAAGAAAAAGGCGCTTAAATCCCTCCGTGCAAAGGCCTCGACGAGAAACCCGGACGAGTTCTACTTCGCCATGACTTCCTCGACCACTCGCAACGGGATCAAGGTTACGGAGCGCCCTGACTCGGAGGCAATGAGCACTGATGTCGTCAAGCTATTGAAGACGCAGGACGCGGGGTATATTCGTACGCAGAGCGCGGTGGAGCGGAATAAGATCGACAGGCTCGAGAAGGAGCTCGGCTTTATGGATACTGCGGAGGGGGTCGGCGGGAAGCATATGGTTTTCGTGGACAGCGAGAAGGAGGCAAAGGATTTCAAGGCCGAAGAATACTTTGGCACACATAAGGACCTTGTGGGACGGAAGTTCAACAGGCCAAGGTTAGAAACACTAGCAGAGGTGGAGGTGAAGGGCAGGGGGGTAGATGGTGAAGAAAGGAAAATTAGGAAACAAAGAGAAGCGAAGTACAAAGAGTTGGAAGCGAGGATGAAGAGAGCCGAGGAACTGGCGGCCGCGGAGAGGGAGCTGGCGATGCAGCGGGAGAGGATGAAGAAGGGTGGAATGGTGGCGAAGAACAAGTGGGCCAGAGTCAGGAGAAAGTAGATTCTCCTCAATTGGCTAGCGAGGAAAAAAAGTTTGCTTTGGGTCGTATTGGGTGCTTTGTAAATACATTTACTGTAATTCTCTTTTCTTTCTTTTAACTTGATCTTTTAACGTGAAAATTTAAGTAGAATATTGTGAATACCAGCAAGCCCCGTATAACTAAATTGTATACATAGCCTCTTTCCAAAGCGCCTGAGATCTGGAGGGCCCATTCATTATCCTTCGGTCTCCACACTCTTTTCGGGGGGTTGGAGTCGATAATTCTATTAAGAGTTACCCTTGTATCCTTTTGTTACAATTATATTTCAGTCAATTGGCTGCGGCGTATCTAGGAGGAGTAGTTTGTGTTTTTTCTACTTTCTTTAGTCTTCTCCGTCAACCCTATCGTGGGATGGGCAGCATAATATTTTAGCCATTGTCCTAGGCTCCTGATGCCCTACTATAGGTACTTAATAACGCTAATGTTAGCTATATATATATAGGGTAGTATTTTTTTTTTTTTTTTTTGTTCAGCCTATAATGCAATTATAAGCTACATAGTGTGAGGATGAGTGTGAGATTCTGAAAATGTCAAAGATGCTACTCAGTAGTGTTGCCCAACTGCACGAAGGAGACAAATAAGACAACCAGCCTTTCAGTGAATATTAAGTACTTGGACCTTCATCATGCAGCATATTTTTCAAGGACATATTAGGAGAGGAGCCGGATGCGGTGATCTTATTGCGGACACAAGTGATCACTCGATTTCAAGGGCAGGTGATGATAATCATATTCATTCTTTTAAATAAAAAAATATTCTCATTCTCATTCTCATAACAGACATAACAAAAAATTGAAAACCCCCCGTCGTTTACTTCAACTCCCTTTCGTTTGATGATTCATGATCATCTGGGTTGGCATAATGCCCATGAGACCACCATTCACATCTCTTCATGGTCTCATCATCAATATTTCCAGCGGTAACCCAAGTCTTTCCATCAAACCGCAGAATTCCGTGATTATCTCCCCACTTTGGCATTGGGTCTGCCCATTCCGGTTTCTTCTCATTCGGATCGCCAGTTGACCAGAAAGATAGTTGGTACTTTTGTATCGCCATCGCCAGATATGCATTAGCCTTTCCGACAAGTGGCCAGTTGTTGTAGAACGTATATTTCACATCTGCACCGTGGCCCGCAGGTTCAACTTCGTCGACGAATGTTCGGTTCAACATGTAGTGGTATGAGTTACCGTCATAAGCCTCACCAAGCATGTAGGCATTGCAATCGATAAAAGCTTCACCGGCGAGACTGATGACACGGGCGGTCCAGTTACCGTTGTACTTGGCGAGAGGGTACATTTCTTTGATAGTATCGCGGGTTGCCTGTGTTGAAAGAGGAAGATTGGTTTTGAGGTATCCATCCAACTTATCTTCGCTGTCCACTGATCTATCTGCGAATGCAGCACCCTGTCCATAATACATGTTAGAAAAATAAGTAAGCTAACAGGCGATATGGATCCGAAAGTACCTCCATTCCTACACCACCAACCATGACCTCAATGTCCTTGTTGAACTTCCCATCCAGGAGCATCCTTCCGGGAAGATCGGGGATATATTTCCTATCGACGGCTGGTCCGAAAGTAAAAGTTCCTTATCGATTACTAAATTAGTTATTGGTATGTAAAGAAGAACCAAGAGATACGAACCGTGTGGTGAATCTCTAATCAACCTCATATTCGCCCTCTTAATCAGCCAAGAAGGTGCAGCCCTCAGGCATGCGAGGGTAAAACACCCAGTTTCCCCTATGCCTCAATCAGCTCTGCCAGCAACCATTAAGTTCGAAAGGAAGAATCCATACTCAGAAATCTCTTGTAAGTGGCGTCCTGGAGATCATCTGCCGCTTTAAATCCTCCAGCGTTCGGAACCCAACCCGGACTTTGCGGAATTGCTCTCTTGAAGGGTGCCTTCTCCTCTTCCTTATCCTGCCAGATCATCTGATGGAGGACTGATCCTCCACCTGCACTCTCGCCCATAATGGTGACATTATCAGGGTCTCCGCCGAACTCCGCAATGTATTTTTGGACCCAATGTAGCGCGTATCTTTGATCGTGGAGAGCGGCGTTAGAAACGGCGTCGAGAACACCTTCTTTCCTTTCTTGAGAAAATAGAGGTCCCGCCATGAAGCCGTAAGCCCCCATCTATCTAGTGTTAGTCTCTTGGGATGGCATATAATTAATATTTAGTACGTACCCTGTAATTCATAGCAACGTACACCACACCTCCCTCGGTTCTCCTCATCATCCCCGTAGGGTTGTAGGGGTACCAATCCTTCCTTCCGAAAATGTAGCCTCCTCCATAGATCCATACAATAACCGGCAGCTTAGATTCCTTTGTTGCGTTCTTGGGGGCAGCAACATCCAGAAACAAGCAATCCTCACTATCATTTATACCACCAAATACTGCGTTCTTTATCACCCATCGAAGACTCGTCACGTTCGAGATCCAGTCTGGAATTTCCTGAACACATGAATGGCCCTTGTAACCTGTCTGGATTCCTTCCTGCACAGGGGGGGGCTGTGGAGCAGCGAATCGACGCTCTCCAGTGGGAGGAGCAGCATAACGAATGTTTTTGTAAACGTAGTAATCTCCTTTTTTCTATAACCGGGTCAGAGGAAAACCTAATCAGTACGATATCAATAATACTAACGTGATATGTTGTAGCTCTGTGAGAGACGTAGTCCAAATGCACAACCGGGAAACCCGGAGCATCTTCTTCTACATCTGTAACTTCATTCTCCTCATCATCACCTTCACCAGTTAATTGTAGAAGGTTGAGCACCCAAGGATCACGTCCTCCACCAGTCGCCGGCGCCTCAAATGGATCTTGGAATGAGGGACTTCTCTGCTTAGGGGGTGGAGAACTGTCACTTTCGTGTGCAACGACTTGGTCGAAAGATGGTTCGAATCCCAAGGGTTCCTGAACCAGTGTGGAGAGTACGCCCTTGCTGAGCGCGAGGAGACAGATGGCTTGAAGTGTCTTCATCTTGAGCTGTGAAGACTAGTGATGACTTGATAGTGAGAAAAGAGAGAGGCATTGGCGGGGCTTTTATAGAGGGGCATGAATGATTTTTGGGCTCATATCTACCTACGAACTACTTACCCCACTTCTGAATGACGGAATATCATTACCTCACTTGCTAACTGAATATCATACAGTCCTTTCTCTCTCTCCACCACCTGAAGAATACGGTCTCGAACTTGGCATATCAGGCTATGATCAACCAATAATCAATGATTATACCGGGGAAAGTACATAATAGAGTAAGGATCATGTAGGTCCAGCTGAGATGGGAAAATATGCAACAATTGATACATGATCACTATCATGCAATTGAGTGCATTATAGTTTATTGCCACGGCGCTCTCGAACGTAGATACATCCAACAATTGCACTTCTGTACAACCGTACCGGACAAAATATCCATATGGGGGTTGACTACAAGGGCATTGAGACGAAAGAGAACGGATCGTAGGTAGGAATAATTCTTATGTCCTATTTTAATCTATCAAATTAAGAATTTAGACCACAAAACATCCGAAGAAAGACAGTATCCCCCTTGATTTCCCTAATATTCTCGATCAGCCCTTTCCTTAGGTGTTTCAGGCACGAGATTCGGCTTTTCTCCATTGAATCTAGATCGGCGCGGCACCCACTCTTGGTTTCTAGATCTTCTTGTTATCGCTTGTCCATCCTAATGCACGTCATTATTGGGAATAATCCCCGGAAGTTCGGTACCTGAGACATAGATACATGCGCCTTGCTCATGAGGGGATAATCCAATTAAGGTCAACGAGCTGCTAGTGGTGCTAAAGTCACTGCAACTGGTCCCAATTCTACTTGAAAACAACGTCTTATGATAATTCTTAATGTTTTTCTCTACGCAAATCTTTATTCTTACTGATCGCTCCCAATGTTGAATACTCCATTGCCTACTCAAGTGGGTGATGTTTTTCGACTCATTGTTTGATCACTGATTGAGTTAGCCTTGTTGCATGCAGTCTTCAGCACTAACCCCAATTGTCATTTCGTACAACAGCAGATTCCCGGCTATTTTCATGCGATGTCGATCATTGTTTCACGGCATTTATTCTTTGAGCTAGATCTGGCCTGGATAGAGTCGGCTATCTTGAATATTTACCGCGTGTGTGACGGATCTACTAACCACTATTGTATCCATGGTTCCGCCCATTGGCTCACCAGGGTCTTTCAGCTGAGTTTGGTCGAGGTTTTTTTTGCTTCGCATGATAATAAAGAGCTCGGAAGAATGGGTGTCTTAATTCCCCGCTTTAAAGTCTCCAGTGGAGAGAGGAGCTCTATTTAGAGACAGGTACACTGCATTTTTACCTATGAGCACTCGTACTCTAGAGTAGTCTAGGTACTTATGCATCACGGATCACCTCGCGCCCCACTCATACCCTATTCCTATTCCCCGGGCGGTTCTACAATATTGCCTAGCTCTTAAACCAGACCCGTCCCAAGCCTCGCTTCTACCTGAGATCAACTCCTAAAACACCCCAGGGCACCAAATTGCATGGCTCAAAGTACTTGATGTGTTTATGATTACGTGTGATCATGCGTAGGTGCAAAACCTTTCTCTCTGTGATACGAATAAATATGTACACAAGGTTCCCTGGGCAGGTACAAGTAGACTTCTAGCAGATCCAGCATCGACATTAGGATTCTTAAGCGACTGATTCTCTCTTACCAATTTATACATTCTGTTCTTTTGCTTAGTTTTGAATTTTGTTTGTTTTCTATTTACACTAGTACCCTCCCTTCTGGTATTCAAAGCATATTTTTGGACGTGACTTGGCTGGCCTCCTTAGCAATTTCATAAATCCCTAGTATTGAAGATCTATTCATTTTCATTGTTTTGACGGCAACCCAGTTTAAGAATATTACGAGATTTAGAATGGAGATCATTAATTCTCACTCGGCACCTACCAAGGTTCCCCGCAGTCG